TAATACTAAAGCGATGTTTAAAGCAAGGGTTTCCAAACATTTCAGCAATTGCAGCAGATTGGTAACCCCTTAAAATTCATATTAACCTACTCTATATTTATATATACATGCAAAGTAAAATAATTCCATCCAGTTAAAGCATCCTTTTTAAAGGGACATTTGATCATTATATTAAATGTGTTTTTAATTTTCTAATGCCACATTTAAATATTTAATGGTGCGTTTTACAATTGAATTGTATTTTTAATATTTTTTAGATTACAAAAAGTAAAAAAAATTACATCTACTTGCTTCATTGTACATTTATTTATATAATCAGACATTAACATATAGGGTGACCAGATCTAAAGAAAAAAAAAGTGTGAAACAACTAGGAAATTTATGAGGCACAATGCTCTGAGAATCAGCTTTACACTGGAAAAAAATCAAAATCTAGAGAAGTCATTTTTTTTCTTAAAATAAGTGCATTTGTTCTTAAATTGAGAACGTAAAACAGACATTTTGCCAATGGAACAAGACAATTTACATTTAAATAAGGAAACACAATTGCACTTTTATTATTTCAAGTGCAAATTATCTAAATATCTCATTTTAAGAGTAAAAATACTCATTCCATTGGCAAATCATCTCATTAAGCTACTCAAATTAAGGGTAAATGCACTTAATTTAATACATTTTTACTTATTTCTAGATCGTTTTTCCGGTGTAACTGTGTTGGTCAGTTCTATACCATTTTATATAAACATATAAAAATCATTTACCTGCTCTGTTTCCAGAGCATTGTTCACAGGTTGATCAAAACTTTTGCCACTTCCCATGCACCACCTTCTTCATTTGACACATTCTTCGCCTTTGACTATTTGACCTGATGTAACACCTACATTTCTTCACTATGACATCAATAAAGTCAAACAGTCAAAATCCATTAGCGCCTTTTAACAATCTAACAATTGTGTTGAATTTGTTTTCTAATTGGACCCAATCAAAATCTGAACGTTGTTTTAATTTGTGGGACAGCGAGAGAGGTGAAAAATGTGGCACTCTCCAGCAAAAATCAGGACATGTGGTCACCCTATATCACAATGATTTTGAAAACCCTCTTATCCCTCTGGGTTGTCCCACAATCCCCCTAGGGGGGGATCACAACCACCACTGTGGTGATCCCTGATTTTAAAGCCTTTTAATAATAAAAAAGTGATGCCATGTAGCAGCAGAGATTCATTATACCTTAATTTTGAAATGAAACAAAGAAATAATTATCGCAGCATTTACGTTTTAAATTATTCTTTTCTAGCATATTAGATAAGTGACGGGGTTGTTAGCTCCTGTTGGTTTTCTAGAGAACACAGATTTCTGAAAGGGTGCCAACATTCCCAAATCTAGCATGTCCCATAACAGACATGAGATAGAAGATCAGAGCAATGAAAAGGAGCCTTCTTGTTATCACCCTAAAATCTCTCTCTCTAAAGTATAGTTTTCCCAAACTATAAAAACCTTGTCTAAAAAAGCTAACGTGAAGTCTCGTTACCCGCTATAGGTCATTTGCTAGCAGTGTAACTCTATATCCGCTTATACATCCGATCCACCTATAGGGTATGATGGGCTCACTAATTAAACATTTTAATTTCCTATTTTCCAACCAATCAGGTCAAACTGCATTTTATAATGGGGGTTTATACCAGAATGAGGTGAAAATAATAATAAAATAAAAAAACTTCCTCTCTGAATGTCTCCAAGACAGTCCATTGGTATTTAAGCGAGTTAACCAAAGGTGCACGAGGCATATTTGCCTCCGTAAAATACTTTTGCATTGCTGCAAAAGGTACCGGAATGCCATCCTCAATCTTAGGCTTCTACAGTTGTTGTGTTTTTTTTGTATTTATTTAAAAAAGTATTTTTCATACACGTTGTTGGCCTTTGGTTTGACATTTCAAGCATTGCGGAGAGCAATTTTTAATGTTTGGCGTGATCATCTGTATGTTCAAAGCTTCTTTTTTTTTTTTTAGGAGCGTAATCTCTTATCGAACATTTGTCACATTCTCTGACCAGTTAGTCCAGTGTTTTATTTAAGCAGCTTTATTACTATTTTAAATGCACTGGCATACATTTGTTTAGCTGCATTTATTAAATTGAGCTTGAATAGATGTGTAGTATGTGCCATTATTTCTGGGAAAATGTTATCTTCCCCTTGACATTTGAAAAAAAAAATGTTTTCTTAATCATTTTTGCTACAATGTTTTTTTAAAGGCTTTGGAACCAAAGTTATTTGGTTATGTCACTCGTCATTCATTCCAATAATTTTTGATTTTTGTCCTTAAGACACTAAACATGTTTAGTTTAGTTTTAATATTTTAACTTTTAATTTATTTTAGCACATTATATAGAACAGAATCTGGGTTTTTTTCCATGTGTGATGTTAAATAATATATAAAAAATCAGGGATATTTCCACCAAACCTGTTCTTGTGCGAAACCAGATAAAGGTCTTGTGAAGGATTATATGTTACAGTTAAAAACCTCAGAATGTTGTAAAAACTGGTTTTATCCGTTAGCTACTTTATGCTGCACAGAGAAATAAAAACATAATTTTTGTTGGGAGGTTGAAAAAAAACAAAAACGACTACAGACATTAATATATGGAAGTAAATCTGTGTCGCTGGGATTTGAATTAAAAATGCCGCTGAAATTTAAATGTTGTATTTGTTCTTACTGTTTCAGTGTTAAAATATATTCAGAACACATTTTTGACCTAAAAAAAAAATTCATTGTCATTATTTCTACACAGTTGAAATTTCATTTGTTATTTTCTCTTCAAGCTAAAAATTCACATTACTATATTAAAGTGATTACATATTCAATACTTATTTTTCAATCTTAAAAAAATCTGCATATAAAAAATTCAACTTTTCAAAATTCAAACTCAATATTTTCAGCCTCCTGAGATTCAACCGGCACTATTTCACCGTCTTAAATTCGGCGTCTAAATTCAGTGTAAAAAGGGAAGGGTTACTTCAGGTCACAGACATTAGCAATGGATTGTGGCGTCCAACACCCAGCCAATCCCATTACGTTTTCTTAGTCACGTGACGTGACGCTTGGGGCGCTCATACTGAAGGAAAACCAGCCGGTCATGCAAGCTAACGCTAACTCAACGGTGAGTTTATTACTTTCATTTTTCTGTAGTTAGCTAACGCTAACTCAACGGTGAGTTTATTACTTTCATTTTTCTGTAGTTACTTCTTACTTCGTTAAAGTTAGAAAGATATTCACAGATTCGGACTTCCAGGATCAATAACTCTCGTTGTTGAAACACAAATGGCGCCTCTTTCATGTCCTGATAGCACAGACTACGTATTACAAGAATTAATCAAAAAGCGTAATTTTTCCAAACCAGCTGTTGTAGTGCGATCACCAAGAGCCCCTTGGTGTGTGTGGTGATTTTGGAGTCTCTGCACTTTATGGCAGTGGAGTTATTGATTTTGATTTGCAACGTTTTGCTGTTGTTTTACCATTTGCAGACGGTCCCTAACCACTTGCCTGCCCGCTGTGTGCATAGAGATCAATGTAATA